AAGCCGTCTTCTCAATAGCACTCGACACAGGTGGGCCTCATGATGTAAAATGTACAATAATGAGCAGAAAAATGGAGACTCATACATGACCTGAGTGGTTTGCCCATGCTGGCCTTACATCACTCTTCCCAAATGCCATACATTTTCAATCCTTATTTTGTGGATTCTTGAAATAATTTAATCATCAGATTTTACTTGCTAATCCATCACATATTACAGCACTGGAAGAACAAATTTTAGACTTGAATAATTCTTTGCTCTTCCAACTATTTTTTTGAGACTTCACAAAACCAATGAACAGGAGCTTACGATCCATTAAGAGGAGTTAAGTTCCATAAAAAGCCAAATGAAGAGGATGACCAGTCAGATGCAAGGTGTTGAGAGCACTCTGACAATGCAAGTCAAGATTTGAGCAAGTTACCAAAATGTGGGGGACGGGCTTTGAATTTACAGGCCTACGTTCAAAACTGGAATATTGTTTGTGGTAGTGATGCACTTGTTGTAAGGGTTGGTCCTTACAGCCCCTCCCCTTCCACATTCTTGCACTGCCTCCTTAATGGGCTCCACCTGTGGCCCATTGGGGTGGAGCTATCTGCAGAGTATTTAGGGCTGGCACAGTGGCTCTGCATTCACTCCCCACAGCGGGTCTGTGAGAATTCTCAGTAGTCACTGCTCCCTTTTTGTCTGTATGATTTGGAACCTTGATTCCTATTTATTTTGTCCTTTACATTTTCTTATTAAACCCTTTCCTTCACCCCCAGCCTTGGCATTCTGAGTCTGCTTTTCCCTGGGCTCATGGTCCTAGAGCCCGCCGGATTACCTTTGGCAGCCGGCTGGACCGAAACCTTGACACTTGTTGGAAATCTAGCAAATTTTCAGACGTTGAATGGAAATATTCTAATCAAGGAAGAATTATTTTGAACATTCAGTGCAAACCCAGAGACTTTCTTTTATGAAGTGACCATTTATGGCAAACTGATTCCACTTCAAGTTAAGCATGAGAGAATGTCAGCAAAGGCCTTTTTGCAGCACGATTTAACTTCATTTCCCAAATGCACTAATGGAGGACATACTCGGTCATGCAAAGTACAGGAGGTACTGAAACAGTGGAAGGCCGAAGCCCCAGTGTCTGTGTCTCAGTAAACTGGCCGAATAAAAACCTCTCTATTGTGAGTGAGAGGCTAAATTTCAGTCTGAGATTGAGACATTTGAAATGAAAATGACTATGATGACCAAAGAACAGCAAAAGAATGAAGATTCATACAAGACCCAAGTGAGTAACCCTGCTGGTCTTACCTCATTGCCTCTGAAGTCACCATAATCATGTTTCCCAAAGCCATATATTTTCATTCTTTATTTGGCAGATTCTTGAAATAACCTTACACATTTCCGCTGCTAGTCCACAGCACTGGAAGAACAAATTTTAGACTTGAATAATTCTCTTTGCTCTTATAACTATGAAGGGGACATGCTAAAGCTAAGCTTTGGGAAGGCATGACACAGCTTTACCAAAGGACCTTCAGTAACTGCTAAAAAATTAATAGAACTACTGATGCACCAGAAATAATTGTTTGCATGAAATTCCATAATTCTCCGCAGTAATTTCTCGTTGTGACTTCCCGTTTCATCAAGGCATCTGTCAAAGCTTGTTCTACAACATGTAGAAATTCTGCTGAAGAAATTTTGGGCTTCAGGAAACCATTGAGCAGAGGTTCAAGAAAACAAGGTAAATTCACCAAAAAGCCAACTGAAGAGGATGACCAGCAAGATGCAAGATGTTGAGGGCACTCTAACTATGTAAGTCAAGATTTGAGCAAGTTAAGAAAATGTAGGTGACGGGCTTCAAATTTACAGGCCAGTGTTATTTGGAATATTTTTTGTTGTAATGAAGCACTTGTTGGAAATCTTGCACATTTTTAGGTGCTGAATGGAATTATTCCAATCAAAGGAGAGTTTTTAACATTCAGTGAAAACAGAGAGCTGATAAATTTCTGTAAATTAATCCCAATATCATTCAAAATAAAAGTGTGTCATATCTTATAAACCAATGTAAAAAAAAAAAAAGTTGGGAAAGCAAATTTGGGGCAAAAGAATTTGTGCAGTGCAAGGCTTTTGCATGCTACACTCTTCTCATTACAGGGAACTTGCTCACAAAGAAGCCACAGAGGCCAAAAATAGGGAAACTTTTGCTGCAAAATTTGCTGTGTACCAAGAAGTCCTGAATTCAGGAAAGCAGGCGTTTTGAGGGATGTTTCTCTTGTTGCCAGGCCGAGCATGAAGAAAAAGAAGGACAAGACCTAACATTACTGGGCATTGGTGAGAATACGAAGGAAGGAAGCCAACAGACAGTTGACCACGATAATGCTTAACAAGCATGAAAGTTAGCATAGGTTATCCCATGTTGGAGAAAGAGAACTGACAGTTAGCCATGCCAAAAGCACTTAACATTGCCTACCTAATGCTTCTGTAAAAATTTGCATGACCCAGTAAACTAAATTACTATGAGGAATAAAAAAGTAAACTGTATGTTGTTATTGTTAATGGCATTATTTTTAGCTAGTCATATTGCCACCTTAAGTGGTATTTGCCTTAAAATGATGAATAGCACATGCTGACTTCTCGTTATCATTGAATGCGAAATGAATTACTCAAGCAAACCAATATGAAAGGTTAATTCCTTACTGTATGCTATAAACTTCAATTAGAGTTCAAACAAATTGCTGTGACAACCAGCAAGCAATCAGTAAATATTGTGTGATGCTTACTTCATCACTATCTCGGAGGCTTGGACTAATGCCAGGCAGCTTGTAGGCGCTGGCTGGTGGAAGGGTATGTTTGCTTTGCAACAATAAAATGACTGGATAGGCCTATCTGATACATCCACAGGACTCCCCACTGCTTTGCCATCTTGGCTGCAATGTTCAAAAAAAATCAAACTACAAATGGAACTACATGCCATAAATCATCACTTTCTAAACAAAACTTTTGACAAATTTAACGCGTCTTTTATATCTTTAGATCCCGTAGGTTAATCCATGAGCATTTCAGCTTGTTTTCACTGTCCAAGGGGACTTGCATAACTTCAACCTTGCTGTTTAAAATTTGTGGTGCTTTGTATAAGATGCACAAAGCCATTTAGACCTTAGCTAAGTAAATGGAGTTCTTGGCTAATTAACACAATATGTCGGCATCAACAGTTAACTTGATAGAGAATAAAAATTCTAGCATTAGCTCGCTACCTATTGGTCATGCTGTCATCCCAAGCTAGTTAAGTTAGCAGATCTTCCTGATGTTTTCACGCGAACAAGGCTACTATCAAGGATGTCCTGTACAGTTTAGTTACCTAGCAAACATACTTTTTACGAATTTGATTTCTAGGTGTCACATCTCTGAAGTTAATTGAGGTTTAGTTAACATCAGTAAGCTGTAATCAAGGGCATCTATTGGGTAACGCATTTGTAATAGCTACGTGGACTACAGCTAACTGTAACGTTAATCATCCTTTAATAGCTGCATAATGTAAGTAAAACAGTTTTATATTAATTGTTGCTTAGACTGACGTGGATGAAGCCATTTATCAGTATTGTATTTAGCCAAGTACTTGTGCAGCAAAATAATTATGACCAAAAGTATAACCCCACGGCCATGTATATAATATAGAGATTAGGGACAGCTGCTCTGCAGATATTAGAGGAGTCACTAAAAATACTTAAACTAATAAGAAGTATTGATAAGTTTTTTATCATTTTGCTTGATCAACATGTTTTCCAATGATTAGAATAATCCATCAGCAGTTCAACACCCAGCTTTGTTCTTAATGCAATGTTGCAGTGATTACATTGTAAACTCAATTCAGAAAAATGATGAAATCACTTTCAAAAATAAAATGAAATAAATTAACAAAAAAAGAAAAACACTCTGTTAACCACTATGTTCACTTTTACCACATCCTGCAATACTGGCTATGCAGCCGGTGCTTAATATTTTCAGTCCACCAGCCACCACTGATTTAATGTAAGGGACCAATTTGTTTAAATTTAAGACTTTTTGTGACTTAATGAAAACATTATTACTTACTGGCACTACTTGCTTCAACCTTAGTAAATTCATTTATTAGTGTTTAGTTGTCCTTTGCACTATTAGCTTGTAAACCATAGTCCTTAGGCTTGTACTTTCACAAATTATTTTCTCTGGCTCTTTTTATTGGATAATCTTTTTAGGTTTTTACAGTCTTTGTCCCTTATTTCTTATCATTCTTATTTATTTTAAAACTTTTTGGTGAATTTTTTTTCTTATTTCACGACATGTTCTATAAATAAACTTGGCTTGCCAGTTTTGCTTTTATCGCAGGTGCTCTAGATCAGCTTTGGAAAGGATCCAAGAACCAGGAAACATAGGGTACATCTCAGCGCTTTGGTTTGACATTTCCTCGCTCGAACCAGTTGTTCTAGATCTGCCATCTTGCAGGCCATCTCAAAGCTCTTGTTTCTGCTGCAAGGAGAGAGCTGTGAGGGGCCATGAGCGAGGATTCACGATGGCAGCTTTCACGGAAGACTTTCAGCCAAAAACCATGAGGTCAGTCAATAATGAATTACGCTGGCAGCAGATCTAGCTGTGCACTGTCATCAGAAATGGATATGGACTGGTGATGCTTCAGAAGAAAGGATTCCTCGTTCTTTTCTCCTCGCGTGGTTCCGTTGCATCTCTCCATGCATGCCTGGTGGGAGGGACTGAGACACAAGGAAAAGACACAAGTGAGAGACACAAGGATGCAATTTAAAAGAATTGTGATGTACCCATGATGTAACGTCTCACCCACTCTGAACCCCTTTTGGATAGCCAGTTCAATGCAGACATGCCATTAATAATCTTTGCTAGTAGTGGCTGTGGTTGAAGACCAATAAATGATGCTGCTTCTGTTAAGATGTCCTTGTTATGCTGTGGTCCTGAAACATTTGTATGTTTATGTATCTATAATATAGTGTGTATACATATTGAGCGGCGCGGTGGCGCAGTGGTTTGCACTGTTGCTTCACGATTAGGAGGTTCTGGGTTAGAACCCAGGCCAGCCAGGGCCTCCTTGCACTGAATTTGCATGTACGCCCCATTTGCGTGGGTTTCCTCCAGGTACTCCCGATTTTCCCCACCCGGAAAAAACACGGTCTACAGGAATACTGCCACCAGTGCCCCTGACCAACAAAATGGCCTAAGAACTGGAGTTGCTTACCAGGCCCTGCACTATGGCTGCACACCGCTCCTTTTGACTGAAATTTCTTTCAAGCCACAGGCAAGTCATAATTCCCATCTGCAATTTGTAAAATGTGTCACACATCACATTACTTGACGCCTGCTAAAGAAAAAAAAACAATTTGTAAAATTATGAGATTTCAGCACCACTCCACACATAACCATTGCTGCTGTTCTCTTTAAGCAGCCATCAAGTTTAAATTGTCTGGGCCATAAATGTTTTAAGGGCAGAAGATGCTTTTGAACAGCTTTTTGTCAGTTTTCTTCGTCATTCCAATGCAATTTTTAATCTATGAAATGACACTGATATTATTATTATTATTATTACAACCCCATTTCCAATAAAGTTGGGACATAGTGTAAACTGTAAATAAAAACAGAATGTAATTACATGCAGATCATTTAAGCGCTGTATTTAATTGAAAATGGTACAAAGAACATATCAGATGTTGAAACAGCGAAATTTTATTGTTTTTTTGTAAAATATAGGCCTAAGCTCATTTTGAATTTGATGCCCGCAACACGTTTCAAAAAAGTTTGGACAGGGACATGTTTACCGCTGTGTTGCATCACCTCTCCTTTTAACAGCACTCTCTCTGTAAGCCTTTGGGAACTGAGGAGACCAGCTGCTGTAGTTTTGAGAGAAAAACGTTACAGAACTTGAATGGGTTACAAACGGTAACTTAAGCCAGCATATCCTGCGAGATATATTCATCTGTGATAGCTCAAACGCTGTGTGAAGCCCTAGACGGTTTTATTTTTATGGTAACACTGGCGAACAAATGCTGTTAACTTGGCTAGCCTGTATTGTATTAAGTTAAAATAATGTTAGCTGAAAAAAAAAAAAAAAAAAACGTAGCACTTGACATATTTCTGGTTAGCAGAACATTCATTTAAAGTCGAGTGACGAAGGTCTCCGAGAGTCGGACAGGGTTTCCGACAGTCGGACAGGGTTACAAAATAACTCCCAGTCTGACAGTCATAAGTCGATTAAAATATCTAAAAGATTCGGTGGATTTAATTAAATTTTCCAAAAAAATATTGACTGTCGGACACGGAGACACGTCATAAAAGTAAAGGCAGTTGCTATGGGTACGGCAGTTTTTCAATGCATTTCAATGTGGAGAGGTACCACAGTCCACATTTCAAGCCCTGCCCTAACCTAACCCTAACCCCTATAAGTGACTAAATAGAAAAGTGAGTGTGAATGCAATTTAGAGAGATCTATCTATAGCAGGGGTCACCAACCCTGTTCCTGGAGAGCTACCATCCTGTAGGTTTCTGCTCTATTTCCTATTCAGCACACCTGATTCAACTAATTAGCTACTTAGCAAGATCACGAGCTGGGCAATTAAGTAGCTAATTAGTTGAATCGGGTGTGCCGAATAGGAGGTAGAGCAGAAACCTACAGGATGGTAGCTCTCCAGGAACAGGGTTGGTGACCCCTGATCTATGGGCTACGCACACGCCCGTGAGGTTGGTATTCATTGGTAACAATTACGTCACGTTCGAAATGCCCGCGCAATAATTCAGTCCAATTTCAGCTTTCCACCTTCATCGTAATGACAGCGAACACAGCACATTCAGCAAAATGGAAAAGACAGCATTTTTTTTTTTAAGAAAACCATCTAATATTGGTCGTGATTCGTATTTATTACCGTCTACTTTATTTGTCCCTTAACATCTATGAAGCGTCTGCCAAAAATAAATTTTCCTGACATTTAAAACGTTATCCATCTTGTAGCTAGCTACGTCATTCATTCCCATACACCGGAGATAGCCTGAGGGCTTACAGCGCACGGATGCATTAACAATACGGCGTTGCAGGACTCGTGCCCAACACTATGGCATCTGGGGACATAAAATGTCTCAGTGATCCACAAAATATGTAAGTAATTCAACAATTATCAACTGTGTTATCTTGGCGGTGGTTAAGTCTAGAGTGCTACTGTTGGCTTGTTTTGAAGTACAGGTGCGACTATTCATGTATGGTATAATGGTCATATGCATATTTTAATCTTAAAAACAACGGACTACCACATGTTTTTCGATTAGCATATCATTATTTGAACGATTGTTCACAGTTGCAGATATAGCAGTTTAATGTTTTCCACTGTATTCAATCTTCTAATTTAAAAAAGGCTACCAAGCTAGCTTATTCTGTAGGCTGTTTATTTTTTACTGGACGGTCTAGCTAAACCAATTCACCACTATTTATTAATTTAAAAGAAGTTTCTTTCTGTGTCAAACCATAAACGCAAGGAAACATTTGCTGGAAATGAAACTTCCATTGAAGCTTGAATAGAAACGTAATGTTAATGAGTGCAAAATACCACTGTGCAGTTTACTTTAGGAAGTGTCTAGAGACACGGCAGTTTTTATTGGTACGGCAGTCGATTTCAAGGTATTAGGATAAGGATTCGGGATTATGGTTCGGGGGAGGGGGAGGGTTAGGGGTTGGCGTTAGGGTTTGGCTTAGGGGAAGGGTTGGGGTTAGGGTTGAAATTGTAAAAAAAATCCAAAATGTGTTGTTTTCACACAGACATATGTGATTTAATCTTGACCCAACTTTGAGATGAAAGAAACAAATTAAGTTATGGTTGTCATTCATGAAAAGTTGTTTTCCTGTCAAAAAGGAAAAACATTATAGCCTCATATCCATTTTTTTAAATATCTGTACGTAATTTTCCACTGTGAAAATCATGATTATTTACTCTGCTCACCCTTAATAACCGTGGTTTAAAGCAAATTATTATGCATTTGAAGACGTGAGAGGCATCTGGTAAGTGATCATAAATGCTTCACAATATAACAGGCTTCATTTCTCAGGGATAAGTTAGACAACTAGAGACAAGGAGGCAAAATAAAGTTGGTTGTGGTAATAGACAGATTTTTGAACATTCCCTATCGTACCAAAAAATGCAATGTCCCCAGTCAGTTCAAACTGTTAGCATAACAATTACAGTTATCGGACAGGAAACATAAACAGGAAAAATTAAGAGAGATAAGGCAAGAATGCCTCAAGGTCTACAACACTGTGAGATGGAATCATGCCAACTGCCCGTGCTGAGGGTTTGGCTGGACTGCTGCATCATGGGATCTGAGAGACTCTGAATGAGAAGTGTTATGGTGAGACAGGAAAAACATGGCCCACACAGGCAGGCAGGCCCTTGATGTCATGACTGACATTGTGACTTGTGTTGAGACCACCACAGCAACAAATGACCCATGAGAAAGAGACCCAAAAATCTCAACGTGAAAAAAGTTGGAACAGTCCCGGAGGGAATAGTGAAACAACTCTGTATGTCACAATAGCTGCCTTCAACCATACTCCTGTGGCACGGATAAAGGATAACTCACTCCAAGATGATCATTGTTGCTCAAAGGCCTTGGATGCTAGCTTTCTTTAGGTAGTGTCCTTATAAGTGGAGACAAATTATTTAACTTAAATGATTTTGAATAAATGTTGTGTTATACATCATTGTGAACAACACACTCTTGCCTCGAACTGATATGTTGTCAAAATACTCTCAAAAAAGGTACGAAGTAGGCTTGAAAATATACAAATATTTGTCACTTTTGCGGTGTGCTGTACATGCAATTGTATTCCGACCCAGCGATGCATGATTAATTTGCTCCTCCATTGCTCAAATAGCACTTACTACTACTACTACTACTACAGATAGCCAACTAGTCCAATAGGGTTTAATTTCAGCTTCTAAGTATGTTTTCTCAGGTAATTTGACTATAGGTAGCTATATTATCCCTGAAACAGTCCTGTTCATTGTTTTCAGACTGAATGACGAACAAACAGGCAAAGTTCAGCTGCACCTGGGGACTAACCCTAAACAATGGTCCATAATTAAGGTGAAGCAGACTTTTTATTTATAAAAGTTCGGGGAACCTGTCATTCCAAGAGAAAGTCAGCCTCATCTCTATCCCCCACATGCCCTTTTCTTCTTTCAGTGCTCTCCATAATGTAACACCGATTTTTCCTCACTGACAGTAGCTTTCCTTTTTTGACTGTTCCTCCTCTGAATAACAAATTAGCCTCATTTTCCTTGGATTTGCACTTTTTTGAAGTTTCCTTGTTGTAGTCATCGACCTTTTCTTTCTTTGTTTGGCCAAAGTTTACTTGCATCATTCAGTGTGTTGCCTTAGTTCCGCCTGCCCTCTCTAGCAAATCAACCACTGCTGGGTGATGGAAAACGCGTCACTAACTGCGCGCTGCTTGTGATTTTTCCTAGTAATGTTGCCACTGACACGTTAAATTTAAATCGGTAAATAAAGCAAATACAATGCCTTTCATCTGAGGGCTATAGGCGGAATCATCATTGTTACTTTATTCAGTAGCAGATAGTCATTTAAAGTTGCAGTCCGTAACTTTGGAGAAAAGAGCAACAGATTTGATTATAGACACCTCCTCCCCACCCTCTCTTTTCCTTCTCTCCCTCTGGTTCTCTCTTCCCCCCCAAGCTCGTTTACGAGTTCAGTTCAAAAACCATATAGCTGAAAGACACAGATGGGCCCCAGTATGTGCTATTGCGATGCAAGAAATGCTGGTAAAGACGTAAACATTAAGCATTTACATGTTACTCACAGACACATACCGCACCATCTCAAAATCATTCTAATTGAGCTTGGTAATCGAAAAATGAGAAAAACAAGGCTGTTCATCAGCCAAACAAGTGAGCAAACTAATGTTACAAACATAACATTCGCATTGGCTAATGAACCAAGTAACTGGCCACACATATTACAAAGCTACCAAGTGACAAGCAACATAAAAACTTCTTTTATATTATCAGACTGTACTGGATGAGAA